ATGCTGAGTCAGGCTTGATTTTTAATAATCTTTTCCTGTTAAATCAATAAATCAAATCAAATCAATGTTGTGAGTGGTTATATAGATATGGCTTGATTTGTCTGGGAAATTGGTTTGAATCCTATTTCTTTCCTATTCTAATGAAGATTTCTTGACTGAAAAAAAAAACCTCAAACCATATTTTGAGACTTGGATTTCCCAGCTGGCAGCTTTGCTAGCATGCAGGAAAATATGAGGCTTTTCTGCTCAGAATCAACGGGCCTCATGCAAGAACATGTTCGTATTCTTATCCTAAATTTCTCTTACTTTTGTTTGTACGAAGGGTTTGTACGAACATGCAACGTCAGATTGAACACACTCTTCTATCTTCAGGAAAAGTGTGTAAATGAGCTGTTTGTATCCAGCCGCTCGTGCACGCGAGAGGAGATTAGCATAATTACCACGATTAGCATTATTACCACCCCAAAAACACCATATAAGGCTATGTTTCCTGCCTCATATTTCAGGAAGTGTCCATTCATGAAAACTAAAGCGAAAACTAAAAAGAACTTTACGAGTTCAGAGATTGAAGTCCGTCTGTCAGGGATCCAGAAAAGAAAATCTGTCATTTTTATCAGTGTCAGCTGTGGAATAAAAGGAGTTGTTAAAAGTATAAACAACTGTGTTAAATCATTTTCATTTATTCAGAAGCCACACTGTCGCGCAAAGACCCAGACTTCCCTCTCCCCAACCACTTGGGCCAGCTTCTTTGGGGGAATCCCAAGGTGTTCCCAGGCCAGTTGAGAAACATAGTCCCTCCAGTGTGTCCTGGGTCCTCCTCTGGGTCTTCTCCCAGTGGAATTTTTTTGTCATACTTTAACAAAATCCAATTATTACAAATTTTCTTCCAATGCACTATATATCATGACACTACTTGCATTTAATCCTCTTTTTAATTTGACATGTCACGTTTTTTCAGTCACAGCTGCAACTGTAACTCCCAGACGCCCATTCCCATAAAGATTGCGGTGGCAGGAGCGCAGCACTACCTAAATGTGGTTCTGAGGCTTTTTGTGGACCACCTCTCCCCGAAGACCCCAGACTGGCTTAGTTACATGAGGTTTCTTATCATCCCAATAGGTTGGTGACAGTCCAGCTGTTACTAAATCTTGTTGTTGTTTCCCTATTAGATTAGAATAGAATTAAAGTACAACTAAYCTGAACATTTAATGCTGTATGTTTGATTTTCAACATCTTTAGGTGCACATCCAGTTTCCATATACCTTGGCACTATTGACTATCGCTACAACAAYTTGTTCCAAGATGCTGCCTGGAGGGATTTGTTCCATCGGCCTGAGGCTCCTGTTATTGGTGGGTCATTTCCTCTCATTCATTTAGGCACCATTGCCTAAATGAGAACAATCTCGGATCAGCTATAGTTTCCATGCCTGGCAGTACTGTCACTTTAAAATGACCAAACTGACATACTGTATGTGCTGAGTGAGGGTGTTGTAARATGAGGTGTGTATTGGGTTTGATGAACATGTGCACAGAAAAGGAGGGGGCAAAAATTGTGTTTTTCTGTTTATCTGGCAACCCTTAAGCCAGGCTCAGCTGCKTGCATCGCACATGCAGTGTTTGCATGATCACAGTTACGTCTAAACTGTGAATACACTAATGTTCCTTCATGCCTAGGGTGTTGTTAGTTTTGTTCCTAAATGCTGTAAAAGTGTGAGCAGCACAAAAAATGCTGCTCTCTGTCATTTATTGTAAATGTTGCTAGKGCAGAAAAACTGTTGACTGCAGCCACCTGTGTGCACATTTCACTGAAAAGCAGCTCAGGGAACCTTCACTGCTGCGAAAGCTTCTTTTGGCCATACAATTAAAAGTTTCTCTGCAAAGTCATAGAGGATTGTTTTGCATGCTGTGCGTTCAGGTAAAGAGTACTAATCATCATATATCCTGTGCAGCCCAGGAAAGTCTAGATGTGGCGTCGAGGGTAATGCAGTACATGGAGGGAGCTAATGAAGCTCACCAACTTCCCATCGCAGAGGCCATGCTCACATACAAACAGAAGAGGTATGTTCCTTCTTATAGGATTTCTCCCTTTATCAGTAGGACTTTTTTTCCATACTTAAAGGAGATTATAATATTTTAAATAAAAAGTAAAAATGAACAATTAAAAATATCAACTGTTGACAATTAAAAACAAATCATTTCATATTTACAGATAAAGTGCATATTGTATGTTTAGGGAAATATCTTTGCATCGATTTGTGTACCGATGAAACTATCATGGGGGGATGGGTGGTTGTCTAAGCATTGCTGTCTCCCCATCATTGTATGTGTGAATAACATGTTTTAATATTTTTGTTATGTTTTCTATTTTCCTGAAGGAAAAAGAGCTTTCATTTTGATTTTGCAGTAAGGTATTGTGTTTGTTTTTTACATAGCCTGATKATTCCTGTGCTTTGTGTCTGTCAGATACATTTCCTGTTGAACATGTTTATGTTGGAGCTTGCCACTTTACAGCTGCCTGCTAAGGGTTTTTTGACACCTATTTTGTATTTTAAAGTAATCAAAGAAAAGTAAGGAACTCCCTCTCTCCCTAAAGGACAGTAGCTGTTTTATTATTAGTATTTTTAGTCTATCTAATTAAATTTATACAAACTGTTAAAGCTGTTCATCACTGTGCTCCACCTGGACAGTGAGTATGAAATGAGAAACCGGCAGCTGGTTAGAATTGTTAACAATGAGCACAAAGAATCAGTTTATTGCTTTAAACTGACAGGACTTTAACTGAAGAGTTACAGAAAAAACTTCCAGCTGCCAAGAAATGTCACTGATTCTTTCATAAAACTGTCATCTGTCTCATTTAGTTTAGGTATGAAGTTCAATTTTATTTAGTTCAATTTAATATATTTAAAAATGCAGATAGAGTGTGTCACTACAGCCAAAAACTTCATTTGTAGCTTAAGCTGAAAACAAAATAAGGATTTTCTGTGAAAGTGCATTGTGAATGTTGCTGAATGATTTTCAGTTGATCAAAACATGAGCTGAAGGCTAAAATATGCTAACGCTAAAGGCTAAAAGTGGCAATTGGGAATAATTTATTTAATGAAAAAGTAGATAAAAGTTAATACAAGCAGAATTTAAGCTAATATCTAAAATAACCACGACTAAAGATAGTGGCCAAAATGAGCAGAAAACTAGATAAAACTAAAACAAATACATCAGTGGCTGAAAGATGACAAGCAAAGCTTTAGCTAAAAGCTAAAACCCACAGAACAGAAGTGAAAAGATAAAATGATCAAAATAAACAGTAGTTGAAGGCAAAAAACAAACAAACTAGTAGACAAAAGCCAAAATGAGCAAAGGAGTAGCTAAAATCTAATTTCACTAATGCTGTAGATAAAAGCCAAAAAAGTAGCTAAAACAAAATATTAGCAAAATAGTTAAAAACTGAAGTTGTGCTTCAGATGCAGTTTATGCTAAAATAAGATTTCAATGTTTTTTGAGATTCAAGTTCTTAATGCATTTTATGAGGGAAACAAAATGCAAATAAAGATGAACAATTAAAAAAATGTTCCAAAAACCAAAAGTCATAGGCATTATGTCATGAACAAGCTAAATGCTCGAATGTCTGAAATGACTAAAAGTATGTCCTGATGCATCTCAGTAATCCAGGTAGAAAAAATCAAAAAGAAAAATATAAGTAGGTCCTCTGGATGGGTTCTTCTTTAGTGAAACCTTTCGTCTCTCCTCCAAGAGACTTCTTCAGTCTGATGAGTTTCAGGTGAACTCAGCCTTAAAAGCACTGCCTCCACATTGGTGGACAAACAGGTTAGTCACATGCAAAAGAGGGCCATCACCTAACAATAGATGAGCTACATCGTCGGGTCAGGACTCTGCAGTTTACACTCATCTACAGGCCAGCGGTCACTCTTTCAGGGATGMAGATGTTCTCATCCTTGATAGAGAGGAACGTTGGTTTGAGAGAGGAGTAAAGGAAGCCATTTTTGTGAAGAAAAACCGTCCACCATTAAACAGAGGTGGAGGCCTTCATGTCCAGTTGTCCTCCTCCWACAATGCTGTCATTTCAAGTATGACTCAGCCCCATGTGAGCAAAAGGTGTGAATCAGGGCCCCAATGATACCCAACACAAATAGGGAAAGAGAGACAAAAACAAGGGGATGTTGAACCCCGCCTGCACTCACTACATACACATGACAAAACACTAAATAACCATAGCTGAAGCATCCAAACCAATAAGTCWGGTGATGGGGCACATGGGGTGTGCGTCGTTCCCGGTTGGCCTTCTGGGGTTGGGCTCCAGAGGAGGGGCAGACTGTCTGGTGGGACCTGGGCTGTGGGCGGACTTGTGGCTTAGTGGGGTGCCGGGGGCGGGGCAGGCGCTCCGGCTTCCCTGGGGCTGTTCGGGCTCCAGGGGTCTGGCTCCTAGTTGCTGTGGTCGGCCCGCTGGCTGGGGTGGCTGCCGGAGTCCGGCAGGTGGTCGGTTGGGGGTGTGCGCTTGGCCGTTGGCGGTGTGTTGGGATGGTCCGGGGTGTGGCTTCGCTGGGACAGGGGACTAGCCGGTTGGCCTGGTGGGGCCCGGGCCGAGACTTGGCTGTCTGCTCCTCTTCACCCCAGATTGAAGGGGTCTGCCTCCTGGGTTCGGATGTGAGCTGTACTCTGTAGGGGGTGGGTGCATATCCTGGACCTGGGGAGTATAGAGTATGTTTGGAGAGTGTGGTGGAGTTTGGCATCCATCTTGTGTGTCTTTGAATGAGTGGGTGAGAGGATGAGGATGGGATTGTGTCTGTGTATGCTTGGATTTTTGTCAGGCTGGGACTTGGGCAGCCCCTTCTTCAGGTTCATTTGAGGGCCCACTGCTTCCCCTGCCGCGCTGCCCTCTGGTGGGTTGTGCCTTTGCTCGCCGGCATGCTGGTGGCTCTTGATGTCTAGGGCTGGGTGCTTGGCTTGGGCATGTGTCGGCTCGGCCCGGTGGCTGCCCGGGGGGGCTTGGGTCCCTTGGCCCTGTTGGACCTTGGCCTGCACCCTGGGGGCCCGGGCCTCTGTGTCTATGCCTGGATCTGCTCTGGCACGGTGGGTGCCGGCGGGGCCTGTGAGCTCTTCGCTGCTGGCCCCACATTTTTTGGTTCCTCTGTTTATGATGCTGATGAAACCAGATGTTCTTCTGGTTCAGCAGCTTGAAGTAACTCCTCACTTTGTGGTTCTGGTTCTGCAGCAGTCTTCTTATCAGCCACTTGCACGTTGTTTTCCATCGGTGTCTCAGTTTGCTTCTGTTGTCCTTCAGCCTCAGATGTCAACTGATCATTCTCCTGTTTTTTGGTTCCAGCCGGAACTTGGTTAAGGAAATACTTCATGTTTGAAACTAACAGCTCTGCTCCAGCTCTATTCAGAGTCTGTCCATCAGACTGAAACAGATGTCAGCTCTCCCAAAAGAGATTAAAGTTTTCTACATATCTCACAGAGTGGTCAGCACAGAACTTTTCCAAAAAGCCATTAAGAGCGAACAGTCTACTGAATTTCACAGCCCCTCTTCAGGCTGTAGGAATTGGCCCACTGATCAATACATCCATGTTGAGATACTTAACTGCATTCAGCAACTGCATGAAATCCTTCTTCAGGATTTCTGATGTGAGGTTTTGTGTTTTTGTGTGTGTGATTCTTGTTGTCTTGTGCTTCCCTCTTGTGTCTTCTTCGTGGCACTACTCTTTCACCTCAGTGTTTCACCTTTCTCCAGATCATTCCATTCACACCTGTCTGCACTTGTAATTAGCTCAGCTGTCTTCCATTTCCACTTATCTCTGCATTGTATAAATCCTGCTCATTTTCTCTCCACCTTCGTCCGTTCATTGTTTGGTTCTCTGCCCTGGCTCGCCTCCATGTTCTCCTGGTTTTTTTTGTAAGTTCCTGTTTTGCCGCCACATCTGCTTCTTATTTAATAAAGTTTTTACTTTGAGCCTGCCTGCTTGCATTTGGGTCAAAACCTGCATACCGAACCTGTCATCTGACTGTCGATTCATAACTTCATCACTTCCTGAATGAATGATGAGTGTATTCAGAGCTGGATACTCAGCTGTGATTTCTAGAATATTCTCTGTGAGGTCAGACACTTTATCAGCAAAACTCAGAACTTTGACYTTTTTCTTGTTCCAGAAGCCTCTGATCCCATTCACCATTTTATCTGTGATGATCAGCATTTCTTGATTCTTGAAAGTCTCTCTTTGGACTTGCTTTGGCTTTGAGSTGGATCTGATTTCAGGTCCCTCTCTGAGATCAGGACATGAACTTTGTTCAGACTCACCAGTTTCTTCCAGTGATGTGAATCTGTTTTGAAGAAAGACTGCTCTGTCTTTATTTCTCTGGCCGTTATCAGTTGTTTTGATTACAGCCTGTTGCTTTCTTCTCCTTGCTGGTGGAGAAAATAATTTCTCTGTAATTATGGCCATTTGTTGCCATCTAAGAGCTGAATCCTTCCTGAGAGATTTTTTGGTCTGGCACAAAGAGAGTTCCATACAGCTTTACTCTCAGGAGCAGCTTCCATCTCTTTGTCCAGTGGATCTCTCATCTCAGCCTTCGCACCCATTTTAACACATGTTGAGTCCTCCAAAGCATTCATCTCTTCCAGACGATGAATCTTGAGCTCCAACACTGTCAACTTTTGGAGAAGCTGACAGAAATCCTCTTTGGAAAAGTAAGGAGGCATCTWGAAGCTTTTCTGCACTCACTCTCAGCAGTTGATGTTTCAAAATCTTCTCAGGTTATTCAACAGCCAAAAATAAAATCCAATGTTCTTCAATGCGTGTTCTTTTACTAAAATCCTGTCTTAACCAGGCATAGACTGCACAAATGTTGAATTGATTAAAATATGAAGCGAATAGAACATAGAACAAACCAGTACTGGTTCTGAATGGAGCTTTAATGCTTCCAGTTGCAGAGTTAGCAGCGCTCAGAACGACATCTGGAAATACAACAAGTTTTATAATTTTCTTCAGCATCCGGTTCCGCCCACCGCATTCCTGCGGCTGAAACTAGATACCCAGACAGCATAAAGTTTCCTAATGTTTAATTCAACGGTATCTATGAGTTGCCATGGTGCTCCAGGCATGTAACTAAAACTATTTTAATCAAGACATAACAGTAATCRCACAATAGTTTATAAGAAACTAGTAATTACCTAGGAAAACTATAAAATGGTGTTGTGCTTTTAGAATCAGTAAGTAAATGACCAATAAATTTCTTCACTTCCTTTTTAATATTTAAATCATTCAGTTGAGGTCTATATAAAGTGTAACTGCAATGCTTTGTTCTGAATTCCTCATTAGCTGCAGGTTCTCTTTCACCTCTGTTCTGAATTGCGTCTGAGAGCAACTCGTTTTGGTGCAGTCTCTTTAAATAAGGCACTCACCCCCTGCCCCCCTCCAGGTCTCACTCCCAGTGATCATTGTCCACCCTGTTCAGCCAGTTTTGTAGTTTGATAGCAGAGATACAAGTATCTAAAGCTTGTTTTACACTTGGAGGCGCACATCTCGTTTCCCCTGCYGAGTGACAAGAAATTGCGTAACTTCTGTGTGCTCTCCCGCTGCTATCCCCCGGTGACAGCCTTCGTGTACATATCCCCCAGTCAGGACTCTGTGACGTGAGCCTTGCAGCTTGGATTGTGTGATTGGTTAGAACTTTGTGGGTGTGTATGTTCACGAGGAGCAAAA